GGCAATTTTTCATCAAGGCGTGGTGATCACACCAGAATGTAATTTCCATGAAGGTGGGGGCTTTGTCTCCTTTATTTAGTGCTAAAAACCTGGTACTTGAAACAGTGCCTAGCACATCGTAGAATACAAGTATATGTCGGATGGGTGGATAGATAGATGGATGGATGACTTCAGGAACTTGAATGAGGCAGCCATTGACAAGTTGGTTTTTTTTTTTTTGGCCTAGAGCTTTAAGGTATTGGACAAATATCCAAATGCTCTCAACTACAATCCATCCCTGAATATATTTAAGTCATTTATAAAATTATAGTAATGTTTGCATTTCTATAAAGTGACAATAATAAAGTATTAATTCTATGTGATTGACCGGAGGTTATGACTGTCTTTTCTTCACATTGTTTCTCCAGTGTTTAGCAAAATGCCTGGCATATAGGTAGGTTCTCGGTAAATAGTTGTTGACTGAATAATAATAAATTGGACTGCCCACTTCTAAATGGTTTGAATTGATTGTCAGCATTCTGAGATTGTGATATTGTGAGATATTCTGTCTTTAATCCTTCTGGCCTTTTTCTTCTCTCCTTATATTATATATCTTTGTTAATTATATAACAGGTTGGTTTAGGGGTTTGGAAAGAGTGTGTCACTTTATCAGTGAATTTATAATATGGAATGCCCTTTCTTATATGCAACTTTTTTGTCCTGTTCATCTCTGTGACAGTAAATGTGTTATGTCCTCATCGGATATAACCACAGGAACTAACTTTCTTACTGTCTGCCTTTTACTCTGTGTACCAAGGGGGACTGAAAGGTTGATTTTCAATAAACCAAGGCCTGGCTTCTCATTCTCCCAGCCTTCTCCATTTCTTCTTTCCACATCCCCTGCTCCAACCAGGTCACCGAACTTTTATTTTGTTTGATTCATCTAGATGAGGACTTGTTTGGGTGTTAAATCTAAAGGAATAATATGCTAGTTTGAATAAAGAAGTGTTAAAAGAGGAAATGGGAATCTCATGGAACCCATGTCGGAAAGTATATCCAGATATCACAGAAATACAAGTTGATGAGGCCCTGAATTTGCACATCCCAGCCCGTGCTCTGCTCTCTTCTCTGCAGACCGGCTTCCTCTTCACGGTTCTTTGTTTCCACACCTTAGCTTACATGTGGCTGACATAGCCCCAATTCAAATTCCAATTTTACAAAACCTTATAAATCCAGGGTCTAATACCATCTGACTGACTTTTTGTGTTTATTTCAAAATTCCAAGAGAAAGACTCTGACTGTCCCAGATTAGGTCGGATAATGGTCCACAGTCTCATTAGCTGTGGCCGTGGAAGCGAGTTCATGTGGTGGGCAGGAAAGAGAGCCAGGGCTAGGACCTGCAGGTTCTCTGAGAAGGGAATATGTGGGGAAGAAATAATGGGCATCTCTAGAATCAAACTTTTTCTCATATTATGTATACTATATAAATCCTATTATATGATCCTATCTATTCTATTTCCTTAACCATTATCCTTTTAGAGCAGCATTTAAATTATTTCTAATCTTTCAGTATTATGAAATAACTGCTAAAAAACATTTTGATGCCTGGTTTTTTTTTTCCCCCTTGAATTCCTTGGAATTGAGACATTATTGGATCAAAGAATGTGACATATTTCTATGCCTTTTATATGTGAAAGTATTGTGTCAACTTACAAGGCCACCAGTAATGTTAGTTTTCCTCATTTCAGGATTTTCTGGAAACTGTATCGGCTGTGGAGAAAGAGGATTTCGGTATTTCACGGAATTTTCCAACCACATTAACTTGAAGCTCACCACCCAGCCAAAGAAGCAGAAGCACTTAAAGTACTACCTAGTCA